ACTGGGGCAAAGACACTGCTGATGATGAACAGGAAGAGTAGGAACTGCAGAAATAACAAGATGAGGAAAGAAAAACTACGCGTCAAGATTGTGTTCTTTTGTGACTTGTCGTTTATTTAAAAAAATGCAATTATTTCTAAAAAGCTTTCAGAGTAATCTTTACCGAATTAAAAAGTAAAACACGATAAAGCTCCTTTAATTGTAAATAGACGAGATCTTACTGTCTTAATCTCATTATTGATTGTCGCAAGTTCTTTGCTCAGTCTTTCAATTCTTATATTCAATAAATTTGCTTCGTTATTTAACATATTTGCTTGATTATTATATGAGACTATCATTGCTTAGTTCTTTTTTTTAATGTCGATAACACAATCGGGATCCTTCACCTAAAAATATCGTAAGATCATTTCTTATTCCCTTTTCTGAAAGAAAGGGTTATACGACGGTTAAAAATGCTTAAAGTTTGTCTGTCCGGCCAAGTCAATCAGAATTTAGCATGCTCTAAACCAATAAAAACTCAGCAATAGTTCCCAGAGAAAGTCTGACCAAAGGGCACTCGAGGTCGAGGAATCCGGATCTGTGGTAAGTTTTATTATTAGTAAGTAATGTAATAATTGATTAATAAATAACAATATTAGTCTTTAATAAAGTTTGACCGAAAAGCAATTGAGGTTGGGGAATTTGAATCTGAGGTCAATTTTCAATTTATAATTAATAACAAATAATAATTATTATTTAATAATTTTTTCATAATATTCTCTGTAAAACTTGATCAAAGGTAATCGAGAGTGAAGAATTTGAACCCAGGGCCAATTTTTCATAATTAATAACAAGTACTTAATGGTTTTTTAATAATGTTTTTCATAAAACTTGAGCAAAGATACTTAAATGTAGGGAATCCGAATCTGATGTCAACTTTTCTCTGTTATTTAAGTTTCCTCACTGAGCTAAATAGATTGTTTTTCATATTTGTACCTGGTTGTAGCTTGTATGAATGCGAGCGAGAACTAAGACATCGTTAGATTCAAATAATCCTTTCTTTGCATATGCATATGTCGCAACATGATCCAGAAAGAAAAAAGATATTGCATTGAAGAGCTGTTTATACACGAAGAGAATAAGATTTACCGTTTGCAACGGGAAAAAGAATAAACGTAAGATTCATTACTTTTGTGGATAAATCTCTTTTCCAAAACTATTTCTGAATGGTATCAAACACATCTTTTTAATTTTAACCAAATTTAGTTTTGATTGCTGCTTTTTAATGATGCAATTCTTCTTTGAATTGGCATCAGGTAAAAGAAATTTCCAATTTATTGATTTATGATATATTTGTAAGAAGTGAAATGACTTAGCTGCTGTTGAATAACATTCTCGTCAGCGAATGTATCCTTCTTTCAAAAATTTCAGCTTTATACTATCAATCGATAAAAAGTCAACAAACAAGAAGATATTCTAGAGAAAGAAGTAATATGTCAAATGTTCAACAAAACATAAAATAACTAAATGAAAAGCAAAAGGTCTTTATTAGCAATTAGATTTATTTTTCAATGCCAACAAAAAGTTTTTCATCATTCGACGATAGAGAGTTTTCTCCTTTTTCTTGCTGCTATCTTCATCTTTTTTCCACGTTCACATAGTATATATGAATTATGTATCACGTGCACGTGTGGAAGCACGATTAAGATAAAAGAGAGAATACAATAACTTTTCTTGAATAGCAAGAAGTTCTTGTAGTTGTTTCAAAGGAAATATAATTATTTACAGTGAGTGATTGGAAAAATCTTTTCTTTTTTTGTTTATTTTTCTAATGGTCAAATTATTCATTCTATGGCATAGTTTAGACTTCAGTGGCATTATCGGCTGATGCATTACTTGCATATGCATATGCATATGATAAATTAATTGCGTCTCAATTACGTCTTGGTGTAGAATTAATTCGTCCAAATATTTCCTGTACTGATGGTCGTGGATGACCATTAGTAATTGAACTTTATTCAAAATTTAATCAAGTAATTTAATTATTCTATTTAAATCTATCCAATTTATTTTCGATTAGATTTCTTTTAATGGAATTACTGGAAAAGTAAGGTGCCAGTAATGCAAAGTTTCCACAAAATTTTTTTTTTCTTTTTTCACATATATTCTGATTCGTCCTGAGTTGCTGATCACGAATATCACCTTATTTTTTGATTTAGGTCACGTAATCATAGAGAACCACTCAA